GCTCCGTTGTTTCGTTGGTTAGTTACCGATCGTTCGCTGCCCACCAGCCAAGTCTCACCCCCGCCTCCTGTCCCTGACGATCAGCCGCAGCCGGAGAAGCACTTCTCGCTGCGCCGGAAGCCCAAGTCGGCGGCGCTGAAGCTGGAGCTGCTGCAGAAGGCGCAGGACATCAGCGCGCAGCTGAAGAAGACGGTGGTGCCCTCGGTTCCGGTCCGCTCGCGGGGAATGCCGCGGAAAATGGACAACTCCGGTGAGTGCCGCAGCCAGCCGAGAATAGTTGAACCGAAAATGACTCAGCGCTTGAATACATCGCTTTGTCTAGGAGTATTTTTGTTAACATCTGTTTAGTTTTGGCACTTATAGCGGGATGAGTATTGAAAAACTTCAGCTACATGGCAGCGAGTATTATGTGACCCCCCCCCCCCCCCCCAGCTGGTTCCTTGTTACCAACAAATAAGATAGTTGTCGGAATCCGCTCGAGGTGTCTGATATACAGTGTCCTTACCGTCTGTGTGTGCTGGCCGTATGCGTCAGTGCCGTCTACTAAGTGTGTCTGTGTGCTGACTGCCGCCGTACTCTCAGCCCCTCTGCGCGGCATCCCGAGCCGGCTGCCCTCCGGCGGGTTCACCGGCACCAGTAACCTGTCGCGCCTATCGGCGGCCGCCGGCGCCCCGGCCTCCCGGCTGCCCCGCACCCCGGCCGGACGCAAGGAGGGGCGCGTCAAAATGCTCGACATCAACGAACAGCCCATCGGCTTCCAGGCGCAACTGCAGCAGGGCAAAAACAAACGGAAAAAGCTGCCAGGTGAGTGCCCTGCCCGGCCGGCCGAGTGGCACATTGTCCCACCGGGGCATAGTGGTATGCGCTGGCGACGCCGCTTTGGCGCCAAATCGGTGCGCTCATGTCCTATAATGCTATAGGCGCTATAGGCTGTCATGTTTTGGCATTGAGTTTAAAGCTTTTTCATTCGTAATAATGTATCAGTAATGAATGTTGTGTGTTGTAAGCAAATTGGGTTGAGGAAATTGGGTTGTTGGTAGACGAATCTGCGGCCGATAATTCTGTCCTTCATTGAGCAAAATGCGAACAAAATTAATTCTTGGGGCCCTCCACGATTTTGTTTACATGCATGCGGTCATAAACAACGTCACCTTTAAGGAGACCCCCTTCAGCTGCGCCTTGCTCCAGTCACACCGGTTTGCTATGACGGTGATGGTGTCTGAACTAACGTGGCCCGTCATAACTGTGTGACCATCAGAGGACATGGCGTCTGCTGTTACCTGACCCGTCCCCTGACTCGTCCCCTGGCCCTTCCCTGACCCGTCCCCTGACCCATCCTCTGACCTGATGAACCCACAGAGGACGAGGAGCAGCCGAAGGAGGCGGCGCCGGCCCCGGCTGCGGCCGGCGCGCCGGCCTCCAAGCGCCAGAAGCCGGCCGAGGAGCGGGTACCGGCCACGCCCGACTACGCGGCCGGTCTGCTGTCGGCCAACCCGCCGACTCCGGCGCCGGTGGCGGCCGCCGAGCCGCCGCCGCAGACTCCACAGGCGACGCCCACGCCGGCCACCAGTGAGTGGGCGGCTGTGCCGACCAGCGGGCCCGGGAATCCACACGGCACCATACTCTCTACCTATATACGAGGCGGGGAGGCGGGTGATGTTCTGCGTTCAGCATTGCGCCAGCTTGTGTTGCGTCCGATGAGTCCAACATCACTTTGTTGTCAGTTATCACCTTTTCGAGAGGCGAAACGATTTTTGCGAATTTCCTAGCATCATTGAGGGCGTGGACATTTCTCAAATGCTGCCGACACTGGAATAATTTTCTTCTGTAGAGGCGACAAGATCCGCTATGGAAAACTATTTTCCTGTTTGAGTTTCAGCTAAATTTCTGGTCTGCCTGACTCCATTTTATTTTCGTACCTACGTTTCTGTCCCGCTGACGGTCGTTCCTCCGTCAGACGGCGTGTCGCGGCCGACGCAGGCGGCGCCGGCGGCCGGGCTCGTCTCCGCCCAGTCCATGTACCAGTCGCAGCCGCCGGCGTACGAGCCGTCGCAGCCGGCCGTGCAGCCGCCGCAGCCGTACCAGCAGCAGCAGCAGCCCGAGCAGCCCGGGCAGCAGGTGCAGGTACGGCCTGAACGCCTGGCGACGATAGACCAGAGCGGAACCTAGTCGCGAGCGCGGGAATGAGCTATGGTGCGCCGCGGCGGATTTGAGTGTCCAAGGGTATCTATCCTGTCCGGGATTTTCGATTGGCCAATAAGTGCTGCACATGGCGCTAGTGAATTTGTAGAGATATGCCTAAAGTGTAGTCGCCTGTTTCACCAGTGGAGACCACACGTCCTGATGTCCGTGACTGACGGTGTGTGTTTGTGTACGTGTCAGCAGCACGTGCTGGTTCCGCGGGTGGCTGAGTACAGCAGCCAGCAGCCGGTGGCCGCCCAGCAGCCGCAGCAGCAGCAGCAGCAGCAGCAGCAGCAGCAGCAGGTGGCCATCATCGCCCAGCCGCAGGTGAGCCGTGATTGGGACTGTGCCGGCGCTAACACGGGATCGATGGTAGAAGATTCACTTTGAAATGCCACCCAATGATGGCTAATGAGTATAGCTTAAGGCAGAATAAGTTCACAAGCTCTGCTATCAAACCAGACCAGTTCACGGGCACCCGGCACACTGCCAGCTGCGTGCGGTGTGTGCGCTGCGTCCAGCAGGCGTGGGGGTAGGCTTCATCCATGGGGTAGGGGATGGGTAGGCGGTTCTGACGTCACGGCTGCGTGCGGTGGACGGTCCGCTGTGGCCAGTCCCGACCGGCCACATCGCTGTGTGCGGTGACGGAAGGCTGACGTAGGGACGCAGTGGGCGGAGCTTGGAGACTGTGTGCGGTCCGACCGCACACAGGGTCCGTGAACAGCCCTCAGATGTGAGTTCTTTATAATTGAATTCATACAAGTCATATGCCAGTCTTGGCGGCTTTTGCTGACTTGTAATATCAATCGACTCTGACTGTCTGATCAAAATGATCACTAAATGTGTAGTACTAAATGCAGTAGCACTGCAATATACCCTTGGTGTCATGACTTGAATAAACACCACTATTCGGTTGCGTTCATTCGTTTTCACCGCCCGACTTTAGGTGAGGTCGCTGTCTGTAGCGCTGTTGGCGGCGCGCTGTTGTGACACTGACTGGCGACTCCGGCAGGCGAACACGCAGCGTCGAGGGCTGACGCTGACCCGCGAGCAGATGCTCGAGGCGCAGGAGATGTTCCGCACGGCCAATAAGGTCACACGGCCCGAGAAGGCGCTCATCCTGGGCTTCATCGCCGGCTCCAGGGGTGAGCGGACGGTGACGGGTGGCGGGCAGGCCGGGAGGGCTTTTCACTGCAAGTGAGGCTAGGGGCCGGGGAGCAGTCAGGGGAGGTTAGGGGTTGTCCTACGTAGGAGACGTTATGGGCGGGGGGAGGGGGGGGGGGGGCGGAGGGTGCGCGGAGGGTGCGCGGTCCAGTGTAGGGAAGAGATGGAGCGAAGGTAGATGGGATATATCACGGTGGCTTATATGGGACGAGCGAAAAGGCTAAATAGATCTGAGGGACGATACATTAGTAAAGTAACGGACGCCATATTAATTGCCCATGAAAAGGGCGCCCTCGTCCGACGATGCTCGGTCGGCTAGCGCTGAATCAGCTCACGTTCTATGCGCGCCACTGACGGATTGTGTGTTCGTGTGTGCGCAGACAACCCGTGCCCTCACCTGGGTAACGTGGTCACCATCAAGCTATCGGAGGACCCGGAGACGCTGCAGCCGAGTGAGGGCGCCGGCCTGGTGCCCATGGTGGCCGAGACCCACTTCCAAATGAACTACTCCACCGGCGAGTGGAAACGCATCAAAAAGTTCAGCCGCCGCGACGGCGTGCCCACGTGAGAGGCCGCCGGCCGCCGTGCTGAGTGACGCGCCGCCCGGGGCCGGTGGCGGGGACGCCGAGCCGGCCCGGCCGCGCAGCAGTGAGCAGCAGACAGACTAACCAACCGCGCTCACCTCAGCCCGCCACCGGCCCGGCCACTTCCTCTCTGTTGTGCGTTGGAGCAAGCTCTCGTGCGTTTTGTTTCTCCGTGTTTCGGTGCCTATGCATTCATGTGTCCGTGGGTTATATTGCCCAAGTAGGTGCGTGTGCGCGCGTGTGTACGAAGTTGTTATATGACCTTAGCGAACCGCTGGAGATATGGATAGGTGTTGGTTTACGGCGCTCACCTGACAGAGCGTCCCGGCCCGTGTGAGGGAGCACCTGAACGGCGCAATGTGCCGCAGTACTGCCAGGCACGGCAACGGGGCGGGTCCCCTCGCAGCGTACCGGCCGACGCGACTAGTGTACGGTGTCCCGGACTGGCCACGACCACATCACACACATATAGCGCCGTATTTTCGCCAGATTTGGAGCCGTGCTTGTACAATGTCCTCCAGAATATATGAGTTTGGATAATGTGCCGCCTGTATTTGGTGGATGCCCCTTCATTGTTCCGAGGTTTCACGGAGCGTCGAGCGGGCGGTACCCTGGGCAATGGGGAAGCTTTGACGTAATCGACGAAAGCTTTTGAATTGTCACACGCCTCGCATTTGTAAGTGGTGTTGTAATATTTTGTATGTATTCTGACCCTCAGAGACTCGAGATATTGGGAAACACCAGCTGCATCAACGTCATGAGCGGTGTCGGGGAAAAAACGGCAGAGATGCAGGAAGCGCAGGAAGGCAGGAAGTCGATAGCAGCGGCCAGCGATATCAGCAAGGGACTGCCGGCCTCGCCCTCAGTCCTGTTCGATAGCAGGATTTTGATATGAGCTACGCCATATTTGATGACGTTAATTTATGTATTTTGTTTCTTTTTTGGGAAGTATTCAATACAATAATTTTTCAAGGCATCAAAATAGTACAAGATGACCCAAAAAACATCAATTTTCTTTGCAGTTTCTTTTACTGATATGAATTCAAATTACCATGAAAAAAAACAGACGCTAGAGCCGTCACAAGCCAAATTCCGAACACTTACATATTCCACAACCAAAAGTGGCGCGCCTGAGGCGTATTTCGATCATCTTACTTCGGGGAATTCAGGCTTTTTTTGTTGTTTTTCGGTGTCATTTTATGCGACTGCTGAGGAGCTGTAAGATAGGATTGTTGGCTTAGTTTGGGCTTGGGCCTAGTCACACATTTCAGTCAATATCTTATCATGCCGGTACGTATCTTAGCTGTAATAATGTATCATAGGCTTCTGCAAATTTAGTTTTTTTTTTTTCAATTTCAGTTGATTTTTGACTAGACACTTACATAGGTAATAAAAATAGGGCTGCGAACTGTGAAGGCTAGTTTTTTAAATACAAATCCTGTCTGATATTTAATAATGTTTATTAGTTAAATACGGCAAAGGTACCTACCTACCTAGATATGGCTGTACAAATGTAGATTGAGACGCTCAAGCAAATGAGGAAAATATGTAGACTCGTACTAGATGCTACTAATGGTTGCCATGGGCTGCCTGTCTTGCAGGCTTACCACTCTCAGTACACCAGCCCACCAGGCCTGGTGGCCAACATGGCCCTGCTGCCGGTGCGGACCCAGTACCGAGGCCCTGCACCACGTGCAACAGACTCAGACATCATTGACGAGGCAATAGGATACTTCAAGGCCAATGTCTTCTTCAGGACGTATGAGATCAAGGTATGTGTAGGACTTTTACCAGATTTACCAATAAAATGCCTCGCTATAGCTATTTGTGTATAACTCTCCTCAGTTTCAGACTCTGCATGTGGAAACACCTGGTTGGAAATAGTGCTGAATTACTGTGTTATGTAATGGTTGATACTTATGGTGCTCTTCATATGAGGGTGACTGAGTGCCGCTGTTTGTTTCAGAGCGAGGCGGACCGCACGCTCATCTACCTAACCCTCTACATCACCGAGTGTCTGAAGAAGCTGCAGAAGTGCGCCAACAAGAACGCCGCCCTGCAGGAGATGTACACGCTGGCCATCTCGCGGTTCGACATCCCCGGAGAGGCCGGCTTCCCGCTGAACTCCGTCTACGGGAAGCCCAAGGACGATACCGAGGCCGGTCAGTGCCCACGCGCTGGTGGGATGGCATGAGGTCAGGGGTGTGGGGGAGGCGGCTGTACGGACTGAGCTACAGTCAGACGAGTCTGGATGACCGACGCGGTGGGTAGGATCTGCTAGTAACACGTCCTGGAAGTGATCGAGTGGTGTTTTACCTCGTCGATCTCCTCGCTTTTGTATGGCGTAGGCATGGCTCCTGAAGCCGAGTGGGACCGTTTTAAGAATACCGAGCAGTGAGCATTCTGTTGTTACTTTCATCGTGTATGTTAAGTCAGGTCAATAAAAATGGTAAAATTGACCTTATGCTCATAATATCGGAGGAATTCGTTGAAAAAAGTCCAATGAATTTCTCTGATGTTATGAGCATAAGGTCAATTTTACCATTTTTATTGAGTACAATCATGCTCAAAGAAGCGTAGTACCATATAAAATTTCGTCAGGTCCTTCACATTGTGTGGATCATATGCTACTTTAGCGATTACGGCACCTGTCTAATCGTGACCGAGGCTTAGCTACGCGGTATAGAAGCACTTTTATTTCGCACCCGTTTCGCCACGTAACAGACCAGTCACTCTCGCACTCGCTGTGTTTGTTACTCACGTCTGTTCTGTGTTTCACAGACCAGATGCGCCAGTACCTGACCCGGCTGCGCCCCTGTGTTTGTTTGTTACTCACGTCTGTTCTGTGTTTCACAGACCAGATGCGCCAGTACCTGACCCAGCTGCGCCAAGAGACCGGCCTGCGGATCGCCGAGAAGGTCTTCAGCACCGAGGACGGCAAGCCGTCCAAGTGGTGGCTCTGCTTCTCCCGTAAGAAGTTCATGGACAAGTCGCTGGGCGGCCGCGGCCAGTAGGCGTTTCTTCCGTTACGCCCCGGGCCGCCGGCCGGGCGGGAGCGGTACTTTGTGGACCTAAACGTGCTTTTGTATCCGTGAAGGGGAGGGGAGCGTGGGCGATATGTGATCAAACGGCGTGGGAGGGAGGGGGAGGGGAGGGGACAGCGCCGCCGCCGACCGAGCCGACTGGTCAGCTGGTACTGGGGGGGGGGGGGGGGGGCTCACCTTTCCAATGCCGCCAGCAGGTGACGCTGGCTGCCGACTGATTCACGGCGGATATGATGATCATGGTGTAGTAGACCTCATCGAGTCCATATTTATGTGATGCTTTTACTGCTAGTTAATACATTTATCCGTTAGACGGCGATATTTCGCTTCCTGAAGCTATAATACCGGGTATGCGAACCGTGTGCTGGCTCACAGAGCTCTCTGAGGACGTGCCCGCTCCGGAGTAAAGTTATTTTACAGAAACTGCTCGGCATACCAGTCTAGAGTTACGCTACCTTTCGGAAGCATTGACGGACCTTTGCCAAATCTCAGGTACGTGCCTGTTGATGGTTGATTGGTTATTGTAGCTGTAGCGATGTCCGTTTGGATATGATTGAGTAATGATTAATGGGTATGGTTCAGCAGTGCCAGTGCCAGTGGCTAAGTGGCGCTGTGCTGGGACTGAAAGCTCGTTTTCCACGTCGTAGAGGGCGCTGGGTGTGGTGAGCGGTGTCATGCCCATTCAATTTTTCGACCAATTACCTCCGAGCTCAGCGTGTGGTCACTCAACGTAGGGGAGGATGGGGCAACTTGGCCGTTTTTTTTAGAAAGCGTTGTATCTCCAAATGGCGACATATTTCCGCACTCTCTCAACGCTGGCAGGTGTCACATTCATTTTACTTTGCCTTACAATAAACTGAAAATGATAGATTAACTACTTGTACTTAGATATTGACTTTTACAAAGGTCTGCAAAGCGGTCAAATTACCCCGCTAGCAGGTTTTTTTTTTTTTGGCCGGTGGGGTGGGGTAATTTGGGCGGTGCTCATTTGAGGCCTGGATTTGATGTTCGGACAAGTCAGCTTCAGCGTCAACAATGACGTGCGTCCTATAAGCACTTTTTAAGGCTGACTCGGTGCTGACTTATATTCGAATGGCTTTAACTCAGGTCTTCTCAGTGATTTAACATTTTCCTGCATAGCTGATAATGCGCTTCCTTTGCACACACTGCTCAATGAAACATTCGCATTAATTTGTCAAAGATATTTTCACAATGTAACTTAAGATTAGTGAGGGTGCACTGTTTGGAAAAAATGTCAGTTTTTATTTTAGCTAAGGAATAATCGACTAATTTCAATTCAACAATGAAATAGCTCAACTCAGTATCAAACCCTTACATCTTGTAGCCTTTGCATGTCCGCTAACACGTGTTCCATACTTTTTGCGAACTGCAGATACGACTATCAGTTTGATTTGAGCAAATCCCTGGCTTCTTAGTCGTATTGCGTTGTGCAGTGTCTTGACCAGTCAGTAGCCCTTAGAAGGCCGACTGTGCCGCAATGCCACCGCCGGCGGCTGTGAACCCAAGCAGCTCGGCACCATGCGAGCTTAGCAACTCGGCTGTCCCAGCTACTCTGGTCCCAGCATGGCGATCCTGACAGCACCGGGAAAGCTGCTCCACTAGCCCTGGCCAAATTACCCCGCATTGCCATTCTAAGAATTTTTGTCTAATTACGTCGTTATGGTTTTACGGAAATAGGTGGAATTGCTCTTGGAAACGCAAAACACCCCCAAATATGGCGCCACAATGTCGGAGTTCGTTTACAGCCCAAATACTACATGCAAGGGCGCACACAAGGGGGGGGGGCGGCACACGGGCCCGTGCCCCCCATTCGAGTAGGGTGTCCCAACTCGAAGGATTATATAGGGGCCCATTTGAGGCGGCCGAAGGCCGCCTTAAATTGGCCCCTAATCCTTAGACCGTCGAAGACCGTGTAAAAATTAGATGAAATAATGATTGAAAAGACCGGGAGGGCCTATCTCGTTTCACAGCAGGCCCATATGAGTCCATAAAATGCCCAGTACGCAGCCAGGGTGATTGTGGTGAAATTTCAATGGCCCTCAAAAGGCCTCAAAGGGCCCACAGATGGGGTCACCGGTTCCTCAGATGGTCACGAAAGGCTCTCAGTCTCCCAGCTGTTGTCAGGGCCCTGAGCTGGCGTCAAACTAAAGGGCCCTTAGCTGGTGTCAGAGGGCCCCAGTTGGTGTCAGAGGGCCCAGTTGGTGTCAGAGGGCCCTCAGTTGGCGTCTAATGGCCATCAGAAGGCCCCAAACGATCCTCAGTTGGCGTCCAACGGTCCTCAGCTGACGTCAAGAGGCCCCCTCAACCCCTCGACTGCTCAAAGGGCCCTTGAAGGCCTCAAAGGGAACTCAAGAGACTTTAAACGGCCCTCAAAAGGCTTGAAAGGGCCCTCTGCTCGTGGCAAAAGGCTCACACCTGACGTAAATAACAGCCTTGTCAAAAACGGACCTGAGAGACCTTGCCGGCCCCTGCCCAGCTAACAATTTGCCGTTGTTACAACGTCGTTTAACCCTCGCCCGCACATGCCATTTTCCCATCCTAGAACGCACATGGGGGGGGGGGGTGGTTGCCACCCCCCCGCGCCATTTCGTTCCTGTTGGAGATAGAGCTTAGCTGTAAAGACCAAAAAGATTCTTTGGGAAGAGACGAATCCAATGATACCCAGTTTTACCTTCTCAGGTCAGTCATTGACCTTCCAGGTCAGGTCAAACTAAAAAATGTTGCTGTTTTGGGTCATCGTTGGATATCAAGTGTGCTGCTTATCAAATACCGATGACGATGCTGTTTTCTGGTGCCAAGCCAGCTAGAACCTCTTTGTCACACTACCCGACCAGAATTTTGCTGCTGAGGTCATTTCAGGTCAAGTTAGGTCACGGTCAATTATATGTGTTTGTATGTCTGTGTGTGTCTGTGTGTATACTGATGTGTGCACCGATTGTTTTTGGGTCCATATTACATGAAATCATGATCTGAGAAGCTTTTACCAACAATGCAGTCAAAAAACTTCAAAAAAAGTAAATTCAGCTTGCCTAAAACGCAATTATCTTAGATGACCTAGGTTGACCTTGACCCTGACCTTGACCCCTGTACATCGTCGAACAACATGTTCCATGATAGGTGGGAGGTAAGACTGGCAAAAAAAGCCGAAATCAGGGTGTCAATAGCTCATAAGGCCCATGGCAAACGCAAGATGTTGAGAATTGGCCATTTGGGTCATGACATGACCTGAAAAACAAGGTCATATCTCCGAAACCAAAAATCACAGAAACTTGAAATTTTCAGTGGACATCAAGAAAGGATAGAGGAGCAGCTATACGAAAAATCAGCCTTCTAGCTCTAAAAATGTCGAGTGCAGAGCAGAAAGACTACCTGGGGGGGGGGGGGGTGGCAACCACCCCCCCCCCATGTGCGGGCGAGGGTTAAACGTTGTCAAATGGTTACCACAACGTCCCGATTTATCGTTGTGACAACGTAATTTTGTAGACTCCAGACAACGGCGTGACAACGTCATCCGACCATGCATTTGAATGTCATCACAACGTTTCTGTAACGTGGCCGTGACGTCCCAAAACTGTTCTTACAACGTCCCGCCAACGTTATGAAATGTTTTCTGTAACGTACCAACAGTGTTTCTGGAACGTTGTCACCACGTTTCCGCAACGTGACTACAAGGAGTATAGAACGCTTTGGCAACGTCTCTGCGACGTTTTTATCACGTGCGCACCACGTTGTCGCTACTTCGCATTGCCGTCCCTGCGACCCTGAGTAAACGTCCTAAACATTTTCGCAACGCCCTCTCAACGTGTTCGCAACATACTCAGAATGTGTTTCCGACGCTCTCTTCCCGTTCTCTAGACTTGTAAAAAAGGCATGTAAGAAGTGTATATTTCAATACATCATACAGGTCAATTTACAACAAACAAACAAAACGACGGCGGCGGCATCGGTGATGGAGCATGGGGCCCAGGGGCGCCCCATGGGGGCGTGGGACGGAATTGGGTTCTACCGGCTCTGACGCTAGCCGCTAGCACGCCAGAACTGGTGGAAGTTCACTTCTTCACCAACCCTCGCTGGGAGGATCACTCGGCGGACCGTTAGGCACCGGCTCATTTGCGGCCTCGATGTCCCTAGGCAGCTGGCAGTGCCTGACTAGACGGTCTGCGCACCCCCCGTTCCGGTCGCAGATTCCGGACAGCCACTTCGCTACCGCATTGCCGACAGGGCCTGCCGCAAGGCGCGCTGACGAGTTGCAGGACGTCTGCGGGAAGACATGAGGGAAAATCAGACATTCAATTCATGAAAAAATCACAAAAATACCTGCACCACTTTCCGTAACAGTGCGACAGGCTAGATCAAACATGTCAACACCTTAGAGGCTAGAGCTACAATGAACTATAGCCTAGACCGCACGATACTACAAGGCACAATCTTGCAAATGCTGCTCGTAAATGGTACTTTGACTTACCAGTCAAAACAACAATCGCATCAAACGCAGACAACTGGCGCTATCTTTCATCTTCCAGCTATCTCAGCCGCGCCCGCCGCCGGCCCTCACTGCTCGCTCGCGCCGCGTAGACTGCGGCTCGGCTGGCTGGCTCTGAACGCCGGCCGGTGACACTGACGTCACGGCCCCTCAGGCGAGGTCAGGGCGCGAGCCACCGTTCGCCTGAGTGGCGGCCCGCGTGGGTTGCTGGCAGCCGCGGATAACAGCCGCGTTTACATAGGAATAGTTGCAAGCCTCTAGCTCCGCCTGTGATGTTGCAAAACATGCCAATGACGCTTTGCAATTTACACATGTTATATATATATATATATATATATATATATATATATATATATATATATATATATATATATATATATATATATATATATATATATATATATATATATATTAGAGAGAGATAGGGAGAAAGGTATCAGAATTTACTTGTAAAAACACCGCTAATTATTCAGTACCTATAATGTCAAGGTTGTGAAAAACCGTTTTAACAAGGTGTTGGCGACCACCAGCTGACAACGTGAACAGTCCAAGTGTTAAAATATTTCAAATTTAACGATGAAAACTGAATATGCGCATTGAAAGTCAAAGGAAATGCATTATATGGCCATATATGTCACCATGCATTATCAAAATATGTATAATGCTGCAAGTGCGCGGTTGCTGCAACGTACCAATAAAACGTTGTCACGACGTTTTACCACGACTTTCGGACCAAACCATGGCTTCACAACGTTCAGAACGTTGCTACAACGTAATTAAAACGTAATTTCGCAACTTACCGAAACACGACGT